GAAGCGGTCTCGGCTTGCCTCTCTCTTACCAACTGGCCTCCGACTGAAAATGTATTCCTCATTAAATATATATTATTTAGAAATGAGCACAAGGGATAATTATGCTCCAGGAATAAAACGTTCAGTCTTCTTAACTCTTCGGTAAGCCGAGACCGTTTCACAACTTGACCTTCACGTGTACAGACTTACATTTCATCAATTTACTTACGGATTAACGCAATCTCGGTCATTCTTTTTTCTTTACTTTTTTCCTTGATGATCCGGTGCTGATGTTAAGCTTTTCTCTAATTACTCTGGATTACAACTGTTTGTGTCTACAGAAATTAACATATCTACACACACAGACACACATTCGAGTTAAAGTGAATTAAACAAACTTTTCTACATGCATGCATATCTCAAATTTTGCTCGCGTTGAGTATATATATCATATAGAATAAAGCCGGTTAGTCTTCTTGACTTAGTATTAAGTTAATATTCTTGTAAGAATGAGTCCCAGCTCTGACGGTGTTCGTCACATAACGAATTAAAGCTCTGTCCATCCTCGCCAGAAACGTTGGAGGATGTCTCGCTTCTTATTAAGGCCGAACGGCTGCAGTAAAACGCGGATCATCCGACGTCTTCTGGTGAGATTGACTCATGAACCTCTTCAGCACATACCTTCATACTAAATAAAAGTATTGACACAAAAGTAGGGACTATAGTAACAACCTGACGTACTCATTCCTCTGTTAGACCCATTGCGTCGGAACCGATTCTGTGAGGCTTTTTGCCTCGATTTACTGCAATTACGCATCTCTCTTGTGCTGACAACATGCCTTCTGCCAGCTGCCTCATCTGCAGACTTTGTCACCTCGCCAAGCTTCCAAAGTTCGTCGAAGGCCTCAGGGCCAGGCGGTCGGCCGAAATGGTTGAAACGGTAGCCGAGGCTGAGCACTCGATGAGCGTCGAGCAGCCGACGACGGCTGACCAACCAACGAGGAGACTCGAGTCCACCGCCGATGCAGAGGAGCAAGATGAGGCAGAAGTTGAAGGGGAGGGTAGTGGCGAAGATCGCGAAGCATGCGTAATACCGACGCCAAGGCGTCCATGTAGAGGGCATCCAGCTGAAAGTGGAATTTGCGAAATATCACAAGTTTGCGTGTAAAAGACTAAACATGTACAGGTTATGGGTAAATGTCAAGGAAATCGGTTTCGAAAGTATCGGTAGATCTTAAATAAAAGTCGAGCTTTACTAGTCCGCAAAAGAAGATTCAACGACTGGTAATAAAGTTTCCAATAGACAGCATGAATAGAAGACCTCATGATACCGTCGCCATTCACTTAACTCTGCACTCAAATAAACCTTCACATCCAAATGAGTCTAGCCTGGTTTAAATTCTATTTGGGAATGTTCTCCAAGTCCAAACTGCCGTCCAGCTCAGAAGAGATGGCACGACGAGAGGCAAGGTTGAAGAGCCGAGCCTCATATTTTCAGCACCCAAATTGACTCAAAAGGACCCTATTTTCTTCTAAAATAAGAGGTCATAAAATATGCTAATTGGAATTGGGAATACATTTGCCCACATCGAAAATTATTCCAGCCTGTGTGTCACAGTATCTGTGTGTTTTTCGACTCGTAACCACAGCATCCAACTTCTTTTGCCTAGCCTATGCCGATTTCAATTGCTTTACTTTCGGAGCTTGTGATTCCTCTCAATTAGAAGAAAATAGGTCTTGAATAATCCACTTATACTTTAAGGTATTCAAAATCATGTTGTCATGGCCTCTGTTTTTCTGGGTCCTAGCGACTATTATGAAGGTCAATGTTCTTGCATTTATTAGTATATGCTACTTGCTATCAAGGCACCTTACTTTCTACTCTCTGTCTCATCTAACTATGGAATTTTCCAAAGTTGTCAGATATTAGTAAGAAAAGTCTAGCCAAATCTGTGGGATATTCGATTAACAACTAATTTTCGATAAATATCATGATACATTAATGTTTAGCTGACTTACACTTATTTTACAAGCGTTTATTTCATGAATCGAGAGCATCAAAGGCGAAGTTGGATTACTCCAAGTATAGACATTTTGTTCTTTCGATATCACATCATATGACGTATTTTACCAGCACTACAATTCATTATTTTAACTATTATAAGCATACATAAGAACTGTATCCTCTCTACCAGCTAAAAGAATATTTTTTGTGGGTTAAGAATGATCTATTTAACAAATTTACATTCCTACCTGTCAGGAGGTGCAATCTTATTGTGCGCTGGTTTGTGTAACTACTGATGTTAGACAAGGAGCGATGATTTTTAATGAAGAGTGTAATAAAAGTCCCCCATAAGTTAGAATAAAATAATGCTATAAGGTTTTGTGTTGATCAGAACATAAAACCGCCTACAAAGGCATATTGATTCTAAAATCGGAGGTTGACACCAGGGGCCTGAAACCCAAAGTTCCGACTTCTATGAAGACTTCACAGCTAAGCAAAAAACCAGGGACTAGATCGAGATTAATAAAACAGAGAACATCTTGAATAATGGGAACAAGTTTAGGAAACTAAGCAAAAACTATCTCTGGGTGCTAAATATAATTAGGGAGAGAAAGAAAAAGAGGGAACAGGAAAAGCCACCGAGTAGGCGAAGACTTGACAAACCTAGAGTCTGGTTTTGGGCTCGAAATTGCCACCTGACTCATGAGTATTACACACACACACAACGCATACGCAGCCATGAGATTAAAACAAGTCTCTGGATTAAATGATCATAAGCTAATTTATTTAAATGAAGGAAAGTTGTGATCCCTTCCTGTATCAAATTCCCTGGTCTACACGCATGCAGGGGGAGAATAAAGCATGGTTCGAGTCCTACTGGGGGTGTTGATTAGATCGAGGCGAGGTCGAAAGTGAAGTCTACTCTAACCTAAAAGAAAATACCATTTTGAAAAGCAAGGCTATTTGAAATTCAATGGAAACGTAAGGTCTACTCATAGCATTATGCGGAAATTCAACTACCAGTTATCTGATCAACTTAAACAAAACAAGTGGGTTGACCTCGTTGTCGCAACTTGGTCTTGTTGTCAAGGCGACTATGTAGAACGCACCTAGTCCG